ATGATAGTTTGGTTTCATCTTATATATGCATCATCTGCTCTACGTCTTCTAAATCTCTTTTCTTACGTGGAAGGATGACAAGTGATAAATTCCTTCCTGACCTGTTCAATTGCACAAGATTTGATCTAACTCACAGTATTTTTGGAGTTTTTACGCTGTTATCACAGCGCTTGTATTAATTTTAGCTCGAATGCGATTTGTAATAACATCATAGAAATTGTCTTTATTAAAACAGACACATGAATACGCGTGTAGAGGTGACGAAAAACCAAACTATCATCACCAGATACAGGAAAGCCCGAAATTTACGCAGTGCTTAACCTTATTACAAAGGTTTACTAGCTCATGTACTGATTCAATCGGCTAACATGACATGTTGCCTATATTATTATGTCATTTCGAATATTTAGGGACGCTGAATCCACTTATGTACAGAAAGCTGGCAGTAGCGGATCGAACGGAGGAGCTGGCAGAGATGGGGCGAGTTTACGCACGACGCACCTTTCTGCGGAAGTAGCAGCAAACCATGCACTGAAAATTATTGATAGAGAAAAGGCTTTAAACATGCATACCCTCCAATTTTAGGATATCACTATTTTCCGGTCCAAAACCGCCAAGAGATCTTGAGAGTTCAAAAATCGCAGAAATTCTAACGCAAACACCGGACCCAAGTGGCACTTCACAGACTCGGACTGTCCACTAGACACTTCCACCAGAGTTACATATCATAGTCTCACAGAGGAGTATCTGTGCCCACTAACCTGTTGCCCTGCCGTTTGTCCCACTTGGCACACGGATTGTCCAGGGCACTGGTAGTTCTGGTTACATGAGCCGATCTGAACACCACCGACGCAGGAGCAGGAAGGCTGCTGGGGAGCTTGTGTGTACTGGGGCTGCATAGGCTGCATAGGCTGCATAGGGGCACCAGTTGTTCCCATGGGGACACCACCGGGAGTCGCCTGGGTGTCCCATACGCAGACCTGGTAAGAATTACATATAGGTCAGAGCTAAGAACTCGTGCAGTGGTTTAGGTTACCTGAGCCTGGACATCGAATACGGTTCCGGGAGCACATGGCATTCGCTGCCATCGACCGCAGAAGAGGTTATTGGGGGCAGGTTGGCACTGGAGATAGTGATAACGGGATTCGGGGTCAACGGCCAGGGGATCGATCATCCAGGAGCAGATTCCTTGGTACTGGGCGTTCTGGACTCCACCTCCTTGCACTAAATAAAGATAATAATGTAGAACTAAAAAAACTTATGTTCCAAAAAGGCTTGCATCTCTGCTCAGTGTTGAGAGAACATGATGCCCCTTAATTAAGTATGCAATAAAGCAAAATCTTCATTATCCCTAGAGAAAATTACTGTAAGAGCAGTAAGACTACCCTGATATTTTCGCTATGTGTAGTGGCGTACCAGAGTTAATACTACTAATATGCAAAAAACATAAATTAGCACAGTACTACAAAAGCCGTAGAGTGGAATCGAACCCTCAACATCATCCTTATAGGACAAGCGTGCTAGCCACTACACCATTATGGCCCCAACGCCTGTAAATTCAATGCCTCAAGAGAACATGCTTAAGACGCAAATATCGCAGTATTCTTTTCGTCTGCTAAAACTAAATAAGGGCAGATGCATGTTGTACTCTTAGTTTACTTCACCTTATTCTTTCAAATGATCCAGCTTTCACCGCTTGGTCAGATACCAGCTGTAGAACCTTTTTTTGGAATGCCAATGCTCTGCTTACCAAGAGGGCATGGCTGAGGCTGAACGATGGCTGCTTCCTGTGATGGCTGAGGGCAGTACTGCTGTTGTGTCGTTGTCGTTTGGCAGTTCTGAATTGTATTTTCAGTATTTATCCCTCCCAGAAAAATTACCTCTGAGGAAACTAACCACGTCGGCGGGAGGGGTCTGGCAAACGCAGGGA